GTTTCCTTCAAGAGTCAATTTATTCAACCCTGTTATGTATTTTACTTTTCCCCATACAGTCTCTTGTTACACAGAAGAAACTTAACTCTACTGACAGACTAAAATATGGAGGGTGATGGGGAGCCAAGTGTTGTGACAATTTAAAACAGTAATCTGCACGTATTGTCTCACTTTAGCAAGTCTATCAACAATCCACCATACTGATCTGTATCAGTCACACGGGTCTATGGCGCCCCCTGTAGTGTTTACAATGCCACTGCACGCCAACAGTGGACTTCTCACATTCAGGTCTGAAAGTTAAAGGTAGCAAAGAGGTTTGCTAAAGTATAAAATAGTATATTAGGTGAAAGAATACACACAGTACTCCTTTACAGGGAATAATTTACACAGATATATAAATGCATGAGCTAATTATCACCACTGCTATAGTAAATTCTTTTTGGTTTTGTTTTTTTTCCTCCTGTCAATAGTTTGCGTCACTGCAAACATCCATTTCAAACAGGCACTGAAATAAGAAAAGAATCATCCTGGTGACTTTGCCCAGATCAATAATGCTTTCAAACTAAGTTAATGGACAACAACGTCAAAGATTCCAATCTTTGGAGAAGTTCAGGCTATGTTGTACCTCAGGATGTAGGATTTTTCATCAGGTTTGATCACCTTTTAGAATAAAGGCTAAAATGACTCATTTTACTTATGTTGTTGGCCAGGCTTATAGCTGAATTATTTGGCAACATGTCACTGTTGCAAATAAATACACAATTTACTATACGCTACACAATAACAAACTGAAATGAGGCTTAACTTAATTTATATAACATAACCTGTTTAAAAACAATCCCACGACGACACTGTAATACAAAAGCAAATTTCTGTCTGGTTTCTCCACTCTGTCAATTTAGGTGACGGTCCCTGATAATGCTACAGCTCTCTTTAAAACATTACCACAGCCCTTATTATGAACATTTTGAGAAAATGCCAATATTAAGTGCAAAAAGGCATAACCCTTGCATCATTTCAGTGCTAGGGAGAAGGCATAGTCAGAGCTACAGTATGTGGCATTCAGAATCTAACATTGAGCACTTTCTCTGTGCAGCGTCTGGCCGTGACCCAACATTTTCAATCGTTGGCTGCATTTTTGGTCTCGGCTTGCAACGTGGATCAGGTTGTGCAGAAGACCGGATGGATGCTCTTCATTAGTTGTGTCCTCCGTTTCATCTTTGGTCAGTCATTGCAGAAAAACAGAGTCATAACCGCTAAAAGAGGGTTAAAAACTAAGAGGCCCGGAGCTCCCCATCACAGTGTTACAACCGAACTCTTTCTCAGAGTTTTGTCTGAGAGGAAGAGGAAGACTTAGGTGGATGGGAGTGTGGGGGAGGGGTAGAAATACAATCAGGCACATGAGAGGGCAGCTACAGGAGGGCATTGAGGTCCACTTCTGGCAAGGGGTCTCTCCAGTATGAGAAGTGACTGAATTCCGGGTAGTCGAAGGAGGAGGTCCGGCCCCTCACGATGAGGGGGAAAACGTGCTCCACCAACTCGCTCAGCCGAGAGTACCTGCCACACAGCCACTATAGTCAACACCCTATTTACTGCTCATGTATTACCTCCCCTCCACTCTGCTCTTTACATGTTGATCCTGTGAATGAGGTTTCACCATTCAACTGGCTGTGTTTTATGTAGTTTTCTTACTGAATGTACTTTGGGAACATTGCTGAAAGGTGTAATATAAATATGAAGGTATTACATTCTTTAATATTATCATTATTATCTTTTAAAGTCCAGTAAAAAATGAGTAACTAATTCACAAGTACATTTCTAATGCTTTTGCTGAACTTGATTCAAACAGGAGATCGACTGAATGTATGCAAATTGGGGACATGCAAGACAAAAAATGTGCAGGTTCACGTATGAGCTGCTCTAGAAGTGCGTCCCCTGTAGTTGGTTACTTACGATGACTTGTTCCCCTTGGTTTTCTCTTGGATGAGCTCCCCTTTGGGGTTAACAGTGAAGATCCGCGTCTCCGACACTCCCACCTGCTTGTAGGCATACGCGTCCTGCAAGGAAAGGGAACTCTTGTACTGACACCTGCTTCATTCAGAGCACAACAGGTAACAGAATGTATGAAAATATAATCATATGCATCTTTTCATTTAAGCTAGTGTAAGAAATTACAGCGTTCTGCTCCAAGAATGTGTATTCCACCAGGCATGATCTAATTTGAATAGCTGCAGCATTCCAAAGGGCTTGAGATCATAGAGACCCCGACAGGATGGTCCACACCTCTGCTGACACCTTAACAATTTGGTCAAGCGAGGTGGCAAACAATTATAGAATGGGAAAGGGAGTGGGTAATTGAAAACTCTCTCACACAAAGGGGTATCCTGGCTTACTCAAAACCGGCACTCTGACTTCATGATCATACAGGCGACAGGTCTGGTTCATTTACATTAAAAACAACCTAAACTGTATATATGGGAATTAGTCTGAACAATTGGGGTTCACTCCAACACCGCTGAACCCAAAGTCTGTGTTTTTCACGTGCTTCAATACTGTTTTTCTACTGAATTAAAGACTTTCATTGCAACACGCATTCTTCTCCTCCATCCTCCTTTTTTCACTTACACTAGGAAGGAAGACTACTTTTAATGGAGTTGCTCCATAAAATCTCTAACATAACTGGCAGAGGAAGATTCAATTGGCATGGTTTATCTGGAAAAGCAAGAATCAGTAAAATGCTTGCATTGCTGGTCAGTAGTTTTAAGGAGTTAATGAGAATACAAATCTGTGTCATAATTAATAATAACTTTTATCTATTTCAAAGTTTCCAGTGTTAGTCCTCCAGCCCCAGTGGCATAAAGCGTGAAGTGTATGAACCAGGCCTTTCAAATGCATTTTAATATCTTGCAATAACAAGTATGGCAGATGGAAAGGCCCAAAAATGAGATAAAGTCATAAGTGAGCTTGAGAACTGGAGTGTGAAGTTCAACAAGTAGGGAAGTTTGAAGATGAAGTATGAAGTACAATGCTATGCTGGAAGTGGCTGAGAAGTCTTGGCCTACAACCACATCCTGTATATTATCTCTGTTAGACCGAGTTGTGTATTTAGGTTATTTCATTGTTGAAAATTCCACATTGGGCTCTTCAAACATTACATTCCCTGACGGATGAGACAGACCAAAAATGTAGATGCTTCAACAACTGCTGACAAAAGGCGTTCGCTAATCAGCGCAGAAATGAGGTTAAATACACACACACTGCAGAACGAGAGGCCTGGCTCTTACGTTGGTCCGGTTCCCAAAGGCTGCGTAGAAGGGCTGTCTGTGTGGGTTAAAGAGGTCCCGGATGTCGGTGAGACAGGCGATCTTGAACACCTCAGGCTTCTTCTCAATCACCTCCCTGCGGCAAAGAACAGAGCGTTAAAACTTAGCATCACTGTACCGCTGAATGGTCTTACCTATGTGTATGCCGTTTTTCTAGCTCCAGCTCTATTCCATCACCAGTTCTATATTCTTTTCATTGTTGATTATGTGAAAGTAGTTCCCCAGCCTGCTGCTTCCACTCAGTGTCCTGTAAGGACACCGCACAGGCCTGGGGTTTGTCTCTCTGACTCCAGTGTCTGGCGCATCAGAGACCGCTGCGGGGGGGGAGATTTTCGCGAGACACACCTGTGCAGGGCAGAGAAGAGGCTGCTGGGGGCCAGCAGCACGGGGCCTTTGGGCAGGACAGTGCCCCTGTCGTTCACCCACTGCAGGTAGCCCTTAGTGATGTCGGCCATGCCGATGGCCCGGGCCGAACAGTACAGGAACTTGTAGCCATTCCTAACGGAAACAACAACAACGATGCAACTCAGGACTGACACAAACCCCCGTGGATCGCCAGCCTAATCAACCAGCCATCAAAAAACAAAGAGGCACTTTCTCTTTTTGAGACTGTCCTACGTCGCACCTTGGCCGAAAAATTACTGCCTCAAAGGCAGTCTTTGTCTGTTTGACTGTCTGGTCTTATCTTGCATGGCCTGTTTGTCTGGCTTTAGTCAACATCTCATTTACTGCTCATATATTACCTCTCCTCCACTCTACTGTTCCTGTAAATGAGGTTTCATTTTTGAATTGCCTGTTTTTTATGCAGTTTTCTTACTTAATGTGATGCACTTTGGGAACATGACTGAAAGGTGTAATATAATATTAATAAATGTATTACCTTTATATTTATTATCATTATCCTTTCAAGGGCAGTAAAAACAGAGTAACTAATTCACAAGTACATTTATACTCTTTTTGCAGGGCTTGTTTCAACAGGGGACTGACGAAATGTATGCAAACTGGGGACTTATGCATGTGTGATCGTATGCTAAATGCTAGGTATGGGATTGGTATATACTCTGATTAAAGTTAAATGTTGAGCACTCATACTATATGCTAGGTGTGGGACTGGCACGTACTGATGGATTTTGTGGTAGAGCCTGGCAATGCCGTGATGAGTCCAGTCTTTCCCCAGCTGTGGCAGGATGTGTCCCAGGGCGTCTGACCTGCGGGAAGCCACGAGAATGTTCACACACAGAGCAGCACCTGAGAGCACCTGAAACGCTCTCCACGCCTGTGTAAGTGGACCGATCTCTCCCTCACAGGTGAGACTGGAGACGGGCCGGGCGCTCACTTGGTGATGGTGCCGTCGATGTCAGAGATGATGACCTTGTCGTCCCAGTTCCACAGGTAGATGGCCGCCTCACAGCGGCAGGTGCCCTGGTACTGGGTGGTGACGCTGAACACCACCTTGTTGGCCCCCTCCCGAAGGTTCAGACGCCCCTGGGAAGAGGGGAACACGTGGTTAGATCAGTCTCTTCCAATCCCAGACAACAGCGGGCAAAAGGGCTGGACGGTGGCTAACTGAGGGCCACTAAAACCTTCCAGACTCTGGCCCTCTATGTCCGGAGCTGCCCACACCTGGCCAGCACTAAAAACCTACAAAACAGATCAGACAGTGGATGAGTTGGGAGTAGCAGTGTAGCTTAGTGGTAAGGAGCAGGGCTCGTAACCAAAAGATTGCTGGTTCGATTCCTCACTGGGGCACTGCTGCTGTACATTTGGGCAAGGTACTTAACTCGCAATTACCTCAGTAAATATCTAGCTGTATAAATGGATAACATGTAAAAATTGTAACCCATGTAAGTTGCTCTGGGTAACAGTGTCTGCTGTATTAATGTAATGTAATGCAGAGAGAATGGTGACCTACTATCTGCTCGGAGGTGAGGCGCAGAGACTTGCGGTACATCTGGCTGAAACACTGCGATGTGGACAGGGCCTCAGAGGAGCTTCCCTCCCGCGCCCTCCCCGAGTCGTCGTCATCGCTGGACGTCTCGCCCCGTTTCTCCCTGAGGACGACAGACGCAGTTCATTCAGGTCACCACAGGGAGGCGCCACTGTAGCATGCAGTTTAGAAGAAACACTGATTTCCTCCTGAAAGTCTTTTTGGAAAACAATTACCCCACAACTCCTTAGGCAAATACTAATGTACAGCTGAAAAATATAACAGTCACACATGGATAGTCATTTGCATTAATGAAAACATAAGCTTCTATTGAAAAGACCACTGTGCAACTACAGTACAGTTGTACAGGTAAAAGTTCAGACACACCTACTCATAGAAGCGTTTTTCTTTATTTTAACTATTTTACACATTTTATAATAATAATAAAAACATCATAAATGAAATAACACAAATGAAATTATGCAGTGACCGAAAAAGTGCTAAACAAATCAACGCTCTCTTATATTTTAGATTCTTCAAGGTAGCTAAAAAATAGTTTTTAAATTAAACTTTTTTAAAACTTTTTTTTTGAAAGAAATTCACACATAGACAAATTTAAATAGTGAAGCTGATGCCTAATAAACAAATTTCGAGCATTTAAGTCTTTCAATCAAAATATCTTTGAATGCATGTTTCCCATTGTCTTTATCAGGTGTGTCCAAACTTTTGACTGGTGCTGCATTTCCTGACATGGCTAAAGGCTGTTGGTGGAAAACGGGCAGAAGCGAGGTGTAGCCGCGCTGTGAGGACGCAGAGGAAACACTGCTTACTGTAAGCTGGAGGCCCCCTGGCCTGACACAGAAGCTCCCATCTGGGCTCCTTCCTGGTCAAGCTTAGAATCTGGCTGCTGCAGGTTGGGGAAAAAAATGAGAGCTAAACCTCCAGACTGAAACAAGCTACATACAGCAAATACCAGCCCATTCTCACACAAAACATGCTTATGCTACATTCAATCTGCGAAGAGGAAGGCCTCTGAAAAATTACTCATCATAACTCAGGAAATCAGAAATAAGATCAGATAAGAGCAGCCTGCTGTATCACTTTCTATAAATAGAAGCAAAGAGCTCCACGAGTGTATAGATGTAAAATTGAAAGTGAGAAGACATCTGCCAGTAAGCAAGATTTCAAATGAGTCATGAGTTAAATTAAATTAATAACTGCTGTTGTTTAGCCAGGGGTTTCATGTAACAGTGCCGTTTCTCTCTATAGCGAAGAATTCTGACTGCACTCCTGTTTTAGCTCTAATTTTAAATTATTCTTTTATGCAATGTAGCCTCATGACTGACCGCACCTGTTTAGTGTCCATATCTTTCCGTCTCCAGGAGAACCACCAGCGCCCAGATTTTTTGGGCATCCTGTCCTTCACCAGCTGCTCTATGCTGCTCTGGAGAGAGAGGACCAGGGTTCATCACTGTGTTGTACTGCTAACCTTACCGATATCGTCGGCTTCTGTTTGTATGTAAAAACCACTAATAACCACCACCAGATTCATAATCAGCTCAGTAACAATAATAATAATAATACCTTTGGCAGATTCTTCTGAAAGGCTTGCATTGACAGTATCATTGGGGCAGCCACAGCCCAGTTATAATATCTGGAAGATATACAGTAATAAGAAAAAAATCGATTATTACCGCAATCAGCAATGGCTAGAATCCATTAGCTGCATATAGGCTTCACAGGAGCACTGTAACACGAGCTACAGAAGAAAATGGTGGTCCACTTGACAAGCCAGAACTACTTTAGAAGATGTGATTTGAAACATTTATAATGTCGTTATTTGATTATCTGTGATGGACATAAGAGCAGTTTGCGTTTAGAGAGGAACAGGACAGAATGGAAGGGATTAAAATGCATTAGACCATGAAAGACACGCAGAGCTGGTGATGGACGGTTTGCTGTAGGGTTTTAGGTAAACAGGGGAGGGACGACACTGATGGATAGCATTTTAGATCTGAGTGATCGATAATGGTGTTTTTAATGAGGTGTAACACAGGCCAATTTAACAGAAGCAGGGAAACCATATTAAATAAAGAGATGCGATAATGTAAGAGGAAATGCAGGAGATGAAGTGGAATTACAGCACAGAGCACAGAATTACCAACTGCAGACAAGACAGTAAAGAAAGAGTCAGCTGATGATGGGGGGCCTGGCTTTGGGAGCAGTTCTGTTAGACAGACTGCAAATATCAGTGACTTCATATACGAAAAGGAAGCAACATCAACAGCACAGAGTAAGAATGACTCGGAATGGGTGAAGGATTGACAAGGAAAAAGGACTTGAAAAGGACATAAAAAGGAAAAGAAAAATTGGGAATAATTCAAATGGAAAATTTGCTGCACAATGTGAAATAAACTGAGAATGAAAATGAAAATTAGAAATGGTCAACCAAAAAATGATTATGATTAGAGGATATTCAGAAAATTACGTCAATGCAAATTATCCTGTCATATAGTGTTACTGACATTTTCCTCCTCTTACATAATGTTTCAGTTCAGAGTAATCTAATAACGAAGAGCTGAAGCAGGGAATGAGTTTAAATACAAGTATTGTATTTAATTCAATAATACAATACTTGTATCGTTCAAGTGCACCCTTAATAGATACTGATCTTTTACATTTGTGAAGGTTTATTGTCCCTGTTCTTTAAACACTCCCAACAGCACAGGCCAAAGGAGGAGAACTGACTTTGAGTTGATGCAGATGACCAGGTTGGGGTCCTCGATGATCCCGGGGTTCTTGGCGAAATCCTGGAAGCTGACAATGTGTTCCAGAAATTTCTCTGCAACACGAGAGAGGAAAGATGAGACTCTTTTTGCTGTTTTTCCAGAATAATAAAGCATAGCTGTGTTCTGTGACCTGCCCGTTACCTTTATTGATGTGGTTGGTGTCCACCGCCCCGCCACAGAGGGACATGGTGACATCCAGCAGGTCGGCCGTGGAGTCGGACAGGTAGTCGGTGCCGCTGTCCATCGCTCCGCTGCCCACCGACTGGGGGGACTGATTCCCCGACTGCGAGCCCGCCTCCGCCCCCATCCGCGACCCTGACTCAGTCTCACTGCGGGTGGGAAACAGGAGGTGATGCGCGTCATTGCGTGTCAATTCAGAACACTCAGTGTGAGTGCACTTTTGTCTTTCAGCGAGTGTGCATTAAATACATTTGCTACACTTGGGCATAGTGGTTAAGGAGCAAAACTTGTAACCGAAAGGTTGCTAGTTCGATTCCCCACTGGGGCACTGCTGCTGTACCCCTGGGCAAGGTACTTAACCCACAACTGTCTCAGTAAATATCCAGCTGTATAAATGGATAACACTGAGAAGAAAAAAAACTCTGTCCTATGTAAACCGTAATCTCCACTAACTCTGAATACAACTAGTAAGCATGAATATTTTTAGCAAATTCTTTGTCTTATTATCACTACCCACTGGACTCATGTGGTGGTATCCCAAAACAGGTTTTGACTACTAGCTGCCATTCTTTGCATAAATGTACATTTAGCATAAAAAGGATGTGGTTTTCAGGGGGTTGTACTTGGACAGGAAATGTATACATGCTGTACCTTTTAGGGAAGTAGAGGGCTGCAACCTCAGGGTCCAGGTTGGACAGATCATCCAGGTAGATGTCTGAGGGCCCCAGATGCTGACTTCTTTTACCTACATCAGAGAGCAACACTTAACAAAGGGCAGTCACAAATCCACTGCTGCTGGACCTGAACTATCGGTTCTGATTGCAGAGGCACCTCAATCAAAGCACAGAGGTCTGATTTCAAGATTTCAAGTGAAGGCTGGAATAAAAGGCAAAAATATCACAAAGTATTATGGAATATTGTTGTATACCAACTAACAACAATAATAATAGCAGTAGTCATGCTAATCCTACAGCATACCCTAGTAAAGACTGAGTGAATACAGTGGTCTTGCTAGTGAAGGATGAGTGATTGCAGTGGTCTTGCTAGTGAAGGATGAGTGAGTGCAGTGGTCTTGCTAGTGAAGGACAGCGAGCCCCGCCCACCTCTCTTTCTCTCCTGCGCGTCTGCTTTGGCTGCTGTCTCTGAGGAGCCGCTCGGGCTCTCAGCCTCAGCCCCGTCCGTCACCTTGGCTCCCTCTGTGGCCTGTCCCCTCTGGGAGCTCTCTGCTGCCGCCTCCGTCAGCGCCTCCTCCTCTGACCCCCCCACGCAGTCCCTGCGCCCCTGAGCCGCTCCCTCCTCTGCCTCCCCCTCCCCGGGCTCCGGAGAGGCCTCCCGATTGGCCGGCCGCTCTGGGCGTGGCGCGTCAGGCCCCTCGGCCTGCTCTGAGGTAGGGCTCTGTTCGGGGGGGGCGGTCTCCTCTGCCTGCAGGGTCTCCACCTCCAGCTCTGCGCTCCGGGACTCCGGGGGGGTCTGTGCTTGCGGGGGCAGCGAGGACTGATTCGGGGTGGAGTGGGAGGTGCACTGAGGCTCCTCCAGGGGCAGGCTGTCCCCCGTGGGCAGGGTTTCGGCAGTCCCGGGCCTGGGTTCGGGCCTCAGAACGGTCACACTGACCCCGCGGCCGGCACTGGCCCCGGGATCCGAGCCCATGTCGAAAGAGTCCTGCCGCTGGATGGTGCGGAAGTGCGTCTTCTCAGAGGGGTGGAGGGGAGACCCCCGCTGCACCTCCACCAGCGTCCTCTCGCTTTGACAAACCTGTCAGAGGAGGACAACGGGTTACACCCTAAAACGTGTATCTCTGATCCTCAAACAGTCACTCCAAAATCTGCCAAAATCCCAGCACCAAATCCTGTTGAGATATT